CCCGGGAGGTTCCCGCCGCCGCCGCTGCCGCCGCCGCCGCTTTCCCCCGACTCCCCAGGCCGCGGCTGGGAATCCCGGAGGGCACGCGATGGCCCGCGCCTGCAAAAACGCCTGGGCGCTCGGGCACGCGCCCCTCCCGCCCCAGCGCGCAGCGGGGACTGTCACCCTTCCCTGCAGGGGAGGCGAGACGACGGAACCTCCGGAAAGGTTCGGTGCCCTGCTCTGGCTTACATAATTCCGACGTGACGAAACCTTTGCAGGGTCTGATGGTGTTTTCATTCCAGAGGCGTGCTCTGGGCCTCACCGGGGCTCTGCAGTGGCTTGTTATAAAACGGATGCTGCTCAGGGCGAACGAGCTTGCTTCTGCCCTGAACACCATTTCCCCCCAGGTCTCGTTTATTTCCTCCAGCCTGCTGGAGACATGCATCCCGTGCTCGATCCTGACACTGGTCCTGTAAGTTCTGGTCCCACCTCCCCGATCAATCGAGCCGGTACCCCACAACCAGAGTTAGCATGCCATCGCTCTGATCAAGAGACCACCCTAGCATGGCAGTCGGTGAATCGCCATCAGAAAAGCTGCACCCTGCAGAGAGTAGTAGAGGAAATTCACAGAGCCCTGACTTCTGCCTTACTTGGGTGGACTGATGGGGCCATAGAAGCTTAGCGTCAGGCTTAAGTAAAGAGGATCCGAGTTCGGGCACTTCGTACTTAGAACAGTTGATCTGAAGCTAGGACAGCTAGCTCTATGACTTGCAGTTGGGGTGTCCTGTAAGACTGTTTGGACTTATTAAGTAAAGAGGATCCGAGTTCGGGCACTTCGTACTTAGAACAGTTGATCTGAAGCTAGGACAGCTAGCTCTATGACTTGCAGTTGGGGTGTCCTGTAAGACTGTTTGGGAAATCTCTACCCAGCTGGGACAGAGCAGGAAGAAGCAAATTTTTATCATAATGCTCAGAGTGGGACAGCAACTGAAAACTTATGAGTTAATTGTTCATGAAATCCTTAATATGTTGAACTCTATTGTCTGAGGGTAATTGAAATAAGAAAGAAAAACCCCAGCTAAGGGGAGACTCTTGTATTGATGTATTACTTACTAAACAACAAGAGCTAATAAGCTAATAACCGAAATGGGAAACGCCATCTTTTTTATCATTGGGAATTAGAGATTAATTGGGGTAATTCAAAGGGAGATAGGATACAAGCCTATGAGAGAAGGGATTCAAAGTACAGCAGAACGGGCTGTGGGGTATATATAGCTAAGAGGTGGGGCACTTGCGTAGCGTGCACAAGGCTCTGGATTACACAAGATCTGAAAAAACATGTTGATTTTAAATGTTTTTAAAATGTTGATTTATGTGGGGTTTTTGCTTGGTCGGTTAGCGTTACTTTATGTTTGCAACATGGAGATTCTAATTTAGATGAGTATAATAGTTATATGTTAGCAGTTGCATTGATTTTTCAAGGTAAGTGTTAGAGGCTCTGTGTTTTACGGAATGGAAATGTATTTTCCCATAATACTGGAGGCTCCAAGTAAGGATGGGGCTATCGGCAGGGCTGGTCCTTCTGAGGCCTGTGCTCCTTGCTTGCAGATAGCCATCTCTTTTGGTCCCACCTCCACAGGGCCACCTTTGTAAGCGTGTGCCGGTATCCTAATCTCTTCTTATGTCTGTGCCTACGCCCCCAGGCTCTTCTTAGAAGGGTGCCATTCGTTGGACTAAAACCCACACCGGTAGTTCTCAACCTGTGGGTCGCGACCCCCGTTCCCTCTCTGAGTGGGCACGTGGGCTCTGTTCTTGTGTGCGCATGCTTATAGAGACCAGAGGTCAACATCGGGTGCCCTCTTCAATCGCTCGTCACCTTTTTTGAGATAAGGTCTCCCTCTGAACCTGGAGCTCTCTGATTCAGCTCTTAGACCGACTGGCCAATGAATCCTTTGTCTCTGTCCCTCTGGTGCTGGGATACCAGGTCCTCATACCTCTGCATCCTGCTGTATGCGTGTGTTCCTGGGAAATGTTCCGGGTCTGTATGGTCTCACAGCTAGAACTTTCCCCCCACCCCTCTCCCTTTTCTCTTGATTCCTATATTCTGGCGATGGGAAGGACTGCACCATAGTTTGACCCGTGGTTTAAAACGTCCAGTGCATCTTGCAAGGCAGCATCATGCCCAGGCATGGTGATTCACATGGATAATCCCACCACTCAGGAGGCTGCAGCGGGATTACTACTGTGAGTTAAAGGCCAGCCTGGCCTATAGAGTAAGATCTTATCTCAATAGACAAACCAACTGTAAGCATCCTACTCTTTCAAGATGTTTTCTGAGGGAACCAGGTCTCCATAAGCATCGTACTATTCTGTTAGGGCAGTTGCTTCTTAGAGATGAAGGATGTTGTCTGATTAGTGGATTCCACGACTGATGAGTAGATTGCTACTTTCCTTTTGACATGAGATCGGTTTATTAATCCGAAGCACTGTTGTTCAGAATACAGTGAAAACGCTAACAATGAGTCCATGGGGAGTGCTACCAACGGAGGTGTTCTATGGTGCAGTGAAAGCAAACACATTTCCAGACCGTGTGCCCATTTCCCTGGAAATATCTTCCTTCCATGCCAGGAGGAAATGGTTGATATAATCAAACTCTCTTGAGGCAGCTGGCTTGCCTATCCAAGGAAATATGCCATACCCAGTGTTGTTTGTGCTGTTGGCTGATTAGAGGTCCAGCTGTAGTAATGTATCTCGCAAAGCTACAAGGTTATCCTTGGTGAGAGGATCATGTGACTGAGCCCATGCAAAGGCTCTACTTCAGACGATGTGACCTCTTTGCACATGAGTCCACCGAGAAAGCCCCAGGGTGACTGAAGAAAGTGAATGACATCGCTTCGTTCTCTCCTTACAAGCTTCCCCTTCATATGATGCTCTAGGTGGAGTTGCTTTATAACCCTCTCCCCTGCCCGTTCTTAGAAGATCCATCCAATACCTGGTTCTTAACTTCTTGCATCAGTTT